CGGGGGGTCGGGGGCGGTACCCTGTGTTCCCAGCCAGAGCTGTTTCGAAAACCGCGCACCATGAGTTTCTGAGTCAGTGAGGTCGACAGTGGGATAACGCGTTGTGTGTTAACTTCGACTGCCTTTTCTTGCTGCAGGAAGTGTTGGAAGGGACCGGAAAGTTTCCCCCCTTCCCAAATCGGTGAAAAATACACCTGAGGTGCCCCAATCCAATCATACTGGATGGGATGAAATCCGGGCAGTGGAGGGTGGGCTCTTCACCAGAGATTTCAGCAAAGCACAGATTAGTCCCCACCCACCCCTCCCCAGTTTACTCCGTTCCAGAGACCGAAGAGCTGACTTCCTAGGGTTTCACTTCCTAGAGATAAAAATTCCAGACCCGCCCCCGTTCATGCAAAGTCCTGAGGTTTAATTTAACAAATTCTGATTTCTACGAGTTTGTTACGTTGTTTAAGGAAATGTGAAATACTCAACTGGCGCAGGTGTCTGCGCCTAACTACACATGGACGTCACTTTGCACTCATCCGGCTCCAGTTTCCTCATATAAAATGTGGCCCCTAGGATATTTTTAAGATGACTTCAGATTTAACCAAAGAGCTAGGAGGTCCCAGTCCAGCTGTATGACCAAATTTGGGGGCTAGGAAGCCTAAGAATCCCAACCCAAATAAATGTAGCCGTTCTGTCGTGAGAGCACCCAGTGACGGATCAGAAAGTAGAGTCATGGGGAGACACCGGGAATGGAGAGGCCCTAGGAAGGAACATCGATGCCGTGGAAGGGAAGGCTGTCGGTGGTTTCACAGCTTGTCTCCGGAGGAGAAGGGGAGAGGACCAAAGTTCAGGGGTAGGTGACTCTAGGCAGGTCCATTGAGCTCTAGGACTGGAGGTTACGCGTGTCAGGTTAAAAAGCCCCGGCTGGATGGTTGGGAACCCGGAATATCCCCGGGCTATCCTCCGACTCTGCGGTCTCGGCTGAAAAGGGACTGAACCAGCAGGAAGGGAGGAGCCAAATCCCAGCTGCGACCTTTCCCCTACTTTCCGTGCTCCGTTGAGGGGAGGAGAGGCAGGACAAGAAAAAGTTGTAGATAGAGACGTGTTGGCAGGCAGGCACTTTGAAATTAATTTTTCTACTCAGCCCACAGGAATTTTTGGTTTTTTATTATACTAGAATTTTGTCCGTTTTTGTGCTGGACTCAGTGACTCTTTTCTCATACTGTTATTAGGCGAGGTTCAAGCTCTGAAATCACCACCAAGTGTCCCAAATGCTACCTCTTGCTAGCTGGGGACCTTGAGTGAATCCTTTAAGCTTTCTGTACTTTGGTTTCGACTGTTATATGGGATGATAACAGTCCTTACCTGGAAATTAAATGAGTAAATCCACATAAAGCACTGAGAAAGCACATAAACATTCGGTAAGTATTATCTCTGTCATCAACTACAGAACTCCCAATGAGGGACTTTGCTCATAACAGCCTATATGCAGTGAGTGGATGCAGGAAGTACACAATAACTCTTTGGGCTCTGCTTATTGTGAGTTGTAAATTTTTATTTTCACACAGCTCTGATGTAGAGATGGGCATCTCTCCCACAATTCCCTCTCTCCACCTCCCTCCCCTCCCCACCCCTCC